AAATATGTCTCCTGCAGGGCTTTTAGCAGTTTTTAGTGTATCTGTTGTTCTGTAGTGATAAAAGAAGTACTTTTACAGGTGCTTACATTTTTATTTTTATTTATTTATTTATTTTTTTGCCATCTCGGGTCACGTCTTTTGTTGTCTTCTACATGAAAAGTAGGTTTACTAACGGCTCATTAAACCTGTAGTAACTGACTTTTTGGCCACTTGGCAGGAGAAACAAGCTATGAACACGACACTGAAAAGCCCAACACATCACTTTTTTAAGTTAATATGGTCGAGCTTGTTAGCAATCATTCATTTGGAATCATGTTTATGGCCAGCTGACGACTGTAAGTCCAACATTCACTCCCGTTTAGCTCTGCTAAATGCTCCACTGTGCTCACCAGCTAGTCGCTAACAGTGTCTATCTGATGTTTGGTTCTGAGCAGGGAGTGTACAGTTGGGTTTTTAGGGCTTTTCACTGAAAATAGCTGGCTGTTGCGAACTAAAACAACGATGTGAGAGTGGCGAAAGTGAACCAGAACTGTAAAGTTGTGGAGTGGAAAAGCCAAAATAAAGAGCTAGAAGATGCTCTGTAGAGCTGCGAAGAACTGTTTGATATACGGTCGGGGTGTGTGTGTGTGAGATGGCAGAGGTGTAGATCTTTGTTTTGGTCCAGGTAGACTTGGATCAGTGAAAGCTGATTCTGCTGGCAGGCAGCCAGTTCATTGTCTCATCACCTACTGCCTTCTCTCCATTATTGTCAGCTTGTGGGAGATGGCTATTGATCCGTGTGTGTTTGTGTGTGCGCCTGTAATCTTTCTTGGGCAATTCACTCGCACATACGCACCTTTTCGGCAATATAAGCAGAGAGAATTGGTGCACAATACCAAAGCGTCAACAAAAAAACAGTACGAGCTTTAGATCACGTGGCCACAGGGATGTAGCAGTGACACTTTAATGTGATTGTGTAAGAGGCCGTGTTCAGCAGTGTGTAGAGCACTGAGGCTGCAGCATCTCTAAAACTGTGCCTGTCCTCCTGGTCACTTCCCTCCCACTGCTTTTCCAGCTCAGCCCTCAGCCCGACTCTGTTTTTCACCTCACACACAGGACCAGGAAAGGGAAGCGGGTGCGGCCCTAAAACAGACCTCATCTTTTTTCCTCCCCCCACTCTTTCACTCTTACTGTTTTTGCTTTCATTGTTTCACCGCCCTTTCCTGTTTGAAGAATCTTGCTTCTCAGTTTACTGATTGCTCATTCTTATGCATCTCCATCCTTAATATGTTGACTAACTCAAGGGTATTCTGTCTGTAGATGGCTGCTATCAGGAAGAAGTTGGTGATAGTTGGGGATGGTGCGTGTGGGAAGACCTGTCTGCTCATCGTCTTCAGTAAGGACCAGTTCCCAGAGGTCTATGTCCCAACTGTGTTTGAGAACTACATCGCTGATATTGAAGTTGATGGCAAACAGGTACTGCATATTTTGTTTTATGGTTTTGGTTAGATGATTGAGTAATTAGCAGTGGTGGAAAGTAATAGTACAGTATAATTTTGAGTATACTACTCTATACTCCACTGCATTTATCTAACAGCTATAGTTAATATTTACGTAACTGAATACGATTTTATATTAAATCACATTAATCGCTTATAAAATAAAACCCATTGTTAAGATTAAACCAATTGTTTCCATGGCTCGTGACTCCTTCCAAAAAGTCTGGTTGAGGCTCTTTTGTCATGTTTGAGATGTCTGAGTTGATAAACATTCCATCAAGGAGACATTTCCCCTCTAAACTTCTCAAAAATATTCAGCCATCTTGCGCCCCATTGACTACAACAATAAAATGCTGCTTAGACATAGTTTCATCAGTATGAAACATCTAATAATGTATTTGTCACAGAGGACATTTAAAGTACTTTTGATACTGTATGTAAATTATGCAGTTAATACTTCTTAGTACAATTCAATACAATTTCGAAGGCAGGCCCTTTACTTGTAATGGAATATTTTTGCATTATTCTATTGGCTCTTATACTCAAGTAAAATATGTGTGTATATCTTGATATATCTACCACCACTGATAATTACAAACATTCCTCAGATCAGGCAGCTTTATGCAACACCCTAAAACTGCTGCTGTAGTGTTAAAAAAGCGACCCCTTTGGCCCTGATGGTTGAAAACCACGTGCTCTCAAGGCTGACGGGAATGAGTGCATATTATAAGCAAATCCTTGGCGCTCTCCATTGTTATAACGCCAAAAACAGGAAATGGATCAGTGCGACCTTCCTGGTCAGTGTTGGGACCCCCAGTCCTGTCCCCATACATCATGACTAATGTCCTGTTTCCTGTGGCGTATAATACAAAGTTGACTAAACCTCAAGCCGCTCAACTGTGGTATACATTTGTTTTGGGGGGTTTTTAAACTGTATTTGGTGTTGTGAAATATTGCTTAACAAGTCAGTGTCACTGTTGAACTTCCAGCTACTTATCATGCTCTGATTTATATTTAGCTGTGGTTATGACCTAAGTTCCTGCCGGCAGAATGGTGGTAAAATAAACCACAGATGAGGTTCCTGAGAGACACCTAGTGGTAAAAGAATTTAAAAGCTATGGATATGGTGTGGTGTTGCTCATGTTCCCAGAGTGAAGATGTGGTACACCTCACTGTCTCATACTATGGAAAATACCCAGTCTGTGCTTGGCTATAAGTCAGAAGGCAGTGTGGCTGGCCAGCCTTGCCAAGGCAAGTAGTTTGTCAGCCAACAAGCGAGACTTGGCAGGACACGAGTGCAGGGAGAAGTCAGAAAAGTTCAGATATACTGTTACAATACTGGAGCTGCTCTCTGGGGGACAATTACGACTCAGCTGTAACAGTTGGAGAAAGTTTTCCAGCTGTGATTGGTGAGGTTACTGTAGAATTAAATCTGCAGGAGAAGCAGGGTCAGGATTGTAGTTAAAGCTAAGAGACCGCGGTCATGTTGCACACTTTTTTACAGTAAAAAGATACATGAAAGGGGTTAGGGTATCCTGTATGGTGCTAGGGGGTTGGGGTGCTACAGCCATTTTTTTTTTAGCTAAAACAAATGATTTTTTGAGCATTTGTTTTATCTAGAGCAGATCAGGCACTCTGGGACTGCTAACAGTTTGATTAACAGCCTAAAAAAAGCCTGTGATAGCGGAGGAATGAATTGTTACAATCCTCTTTGGTCCTTCCTCTTTCCAGTCATTCTGCCTCTATGCAGTTACCCATATTTGTCTCTGTTCACTCCACCCCCCCAATCTTCATCCTGCTGTCAATGAGCAGTTAAAAATGACATCACTTATTTTGATCTTGTTCTTTCTCAGGTGGAGTTAGCGTTGTGGGATACAGCAGGTCAGGAAGACTATGACCGACTGAGGCCTCTCTCCTACCCCGACACTGATGTTATTCTCATGTGCTTCTCCATAGACAGCCCCGACAGTTTAGGTAAGGCTGGATACAAATTGCTTCCTCACTTAGCAAAACTGTAAGTTAGGGTTGTTCCGATAGGGAAGGGATGATCAGTGATTGGGTTTTCATGTGCCAATATTAAGGCGATTTTAACTAACTCACTATCAGAACTAAGATGACATAAAAACAGTCTCTATAATCTGCACCACACTGCAGTGTTTCCCATTCATCCATAATAGCAACGTTGACGGCCACTATGCTATTTAATGAGTAAAATCATAATTCATTGTGGAGCTGCGCTCAGCGCATAGATTCACACAGCACCTCCGCTTGCTCACTCGCGTCCCCCCTCTCTGTCACAAACACATTTAAACAGAGCTGTATGTTTATAGAAAAACTAATGCATTGAAGTTAACTCAGAGAAGCGTGCACAGCACTACTATTACATAATTATGTGGGAAACACTGCACTGTGCATTTGCAGATGTTTCTGATGGTTTCTCTTAAAGCTAAGCCTATTTCTTCCATGCTGGCATTTTAAAGACAAAGCCCCCTGGCGATCAGATCGCCAATTGTGATGTCAAGTAGCCGTGATCAGACTATATGAAAATACAGACGATCGCCCAACCCTACTGTAAGTAACATTTTAGAAAATTGTGTCCCAGTAAAGTCATGTTTCTGGAACCACAGCAGGGTTTTAGTGACCCCGGACTCATTAGACTTCACAGAGAAAGTAAAATATTAATAAAAATAGATTCCGGAGGTACGTTTTTGTAAATGCTCTGTTAAATGTCCACATTTTCCATCACAAGGGGGAGGAGGGATCATAAGTCAGTGTTGGGAAATCTGTCTGGGATTAAATGTGCTGATGAAATACAATTCCACAGTAAAGGATGAAATGCTTAAGGGGCAGAATAAAAATAAGAAATTACATGAAAACAAAAACATTGAAATAAGCAGGTGCCCTTAGATAAAGTCAGGATATAAAAGTGCATTTTTAGAAGAGACTTCAAAGAAGACACTGACTGACAGCAAAAGCTCTGTCCCCTTTAGTTTTAAACCTGCCTGGAGATCTCAAACATACGGAAAGGTTCATAAGGAATTAAAAGGTCCAAAATATAATCCGGAGCCAGGTCATGGAGAGTTGCAAAAGTAATCCATAAGATTTTAAAATAAATCCTGAAACAAACAGGAAGCCAGTGTACAGAGGCTGAAACAGATGTGATGTGCTCGCACCTCTTGGTTCTGGTTAAAGCTGAGCAGCTGAGTTCTGTGCAGTCTGTAGTCGTTTCAAGGTTTTTTGATTAAGACAAAGGAAGAGGCTGTTCAAGGCGCGGGGAAATAAAAGCATGCACAACGGTTTCTTGGTTCTCTAAAATGTAAAATAGATGTTATTTTTGTTATATTTCTGAGGCGATGAAAAACATGGCTGGACAAGCTTGGTACTAATCCTCTCTCTAGGGGTTTCTCCTCTGGTCATTTATGTATGTGGTCATTAGAGTTCCCAGTCTGCTGCCTGTGTGCAAACAATTAATGATCCACACCATGAAAATGTAATGCTTATTCAGAAGGGGTTTCTTCATGATTTAAATATATTAGTTAGCTGTTAGTCTGCTTTCCTCTTCTGGTTTAGTAACTCAGGTCAGTAAGTTAAGTAGTACGACACATGCTGTTTCTCAGCTACAGAAGTTTGAATAAATATTTGGGAAACTAAAATTTAAACAGAGTGAAAAGTACATTTTTAAATCAATTAGGAGTTGATTGAGCAACCTAATAGTCAGAGTATCCAGGATTGACGTACTGTAGGTTGACGCTGATCAATGCATCCTTAGTAGAGACTCTTCTGGGTTTTAATTCTATTGTTTCCACATTAAAAGTGGTCAAGAAGAACAAACAAATGTCCAAACTGTAACCTAGCTGCTGATGTTGTGCAGAGCTCGAGATTATGACGTTATTCTCTGGAAGCATACACAGAATATATTTCAGGCTATGCTCGGAGTGTTCTTGGCCATCAAACTGATGGGGAAAATGTCCTGTTTGGTAAGACTTCTGCCCTGGGGCTTTCTCCCACAGTGTGTTCATTTGGGCAAAGCCACAGATGGTATGCTCGCTGTCACTGCATGGCATCTCCTTCTAGATGGCACAGATTTTGGCTAGCACCCAACCATGTATCAGGGAGGAGTTGGTGACCTCTCAATGTTTATGTCTGTACACTCCCAAGGGAAACGACAAGGCCTCTCCCAGCTGTCCTTGTAGGGAGAAAAGTCTGGAGTTTACTGTGCAGTCACTTGAGTTGTTTTTTTGTTTTGTTTTTTTCGTTCCTGTAGAGAACATTCCCGAGAAATGGACGCCTGAAGTGAAACACTTTTGTCCCAACGTCCCGATCATTCTCGTGGGTAACAAGAAGGACCTTAGAAATGATGAACACACACGCAGGGAGCTGGCCAAGATGAAACAGGTGTGTGTGTTTCTGTTATATCCTGTTGAATGTTTAAACCCGAAGCATCATTTTAACCCACCATCTGTACATTAAACCTCCAGGAGCCAGTTAAGTCTGAAGAGGGCAGAGACATGGCCAACCGCATCAGTGCCTTTGGCTACCTGGAGTGCTCCGCCAAGACCAAGGACGGCGTGCGGGAGGTGTTTGAGATGGCTACCAGAGCAGCGCTGCAGGTCCGCAAGCGCAAGAAGAGGGGCGGCTGCCAGCTACTGTGAAGACACACAGTTTGCTGGCCAACACGCAGAGCAAACCTAGAGAAACCTTAAATCAATGGCTTCCGTGGACTATACTTACTACTTCACAGATGCAGATATGCCACAAGAGAATATGAAAGACTGACACACCTGTTTAAAAGCAAAACAAATCAGCTTTTTTTTTTTTACCATTTCCTCTGCTACTCACACTGTCAGTTTGTTTGTTTTTTTTCCCTCCACCAGAATACCAGCCTGTTGGTGTGAAGGACCTGCCCCTTCCTCCTTTATGAATGTATGTTTGTATTTATATGTGCATATACTTTACAAATATATCATGCGTCTGCCTCTGTGTTTGATTGTTTACAGAGAAGGGTCTTGCTCGCGGCTACAAGTTAGACAATTTTTAGATATGCCTTAATTCGTATGGAACCACTGCTTCTTTTGAAGTACCACTCAAGTCTCCTTTTTATACATCAGCTCCAGTCACCATCCACCTATTTGTCATACCACTATTCATTTTAAACCCTTAAAGTCCCATTTCACCAAGTGCTGAGCAGAGCTGTTTTCCCCAGATTTATCTTCTGACATAAAGGACTAAATTTAGAGCCTGTTCACACGGCATTAATCTACAGAAACCGAAGCAGCAGCGACTAATTGTGGGGAGAGGTTTTGGACTGCATCTTGCTCTGTGTCTCTCCTATGGCGATAGCTTAAACTGGCACTGGAGACAGTGGACTATTGTCATGGACACAACACTGTCACGCTCACTCTGGCTCTGACAGAGTTGCCTCTATCAAGACGTCACCAATGCCCTTACCCAAAAAAGCCTCTTGTCTGAACGCTGTACTGTTGATTCAGATCCAGAATACAGTCATTATGCATCACTTTGCACACTGTAATATACAGGTTTGATAATGGATGCACACTATATACAGCCGTATTGATATTCAGACAGATTACAGGCCCTGTGTGTGTGTGTGTGTGTGTGTGTGTGTGTATAAACATTTTAATAAAATTTATAACTGACAACTTTATTGAAAGCTCAGACATTATTTCAAGTGCGTCATCTCTTCAGTTTGGCTCACCATCAGTAGCTTTCTTGATTTATTTGAATTCGGGGCTTTGTTGGTGCATAATAGGCCTGACACAGGAGACATTCCTTAAAATGTGATTAGGGGGAAAAAAAAAACAATCTGAGTGCGTAGCCAGAGTCCAGTCAAAATGTTTATCAAGTAGCCCTTAAAGGTCACTGACAAACAGGTTGTGTATGTGAGAGAACTACTGTGGCGTGTGAACAAGGAATTGAGATGAAAAGCCAGAGAGCGACTTTGTCAGTGGTCCCAACCACAACTTCTAAACGTCATTTTCTCTATACGTGTATTCTCATCACTGACAGAATCATCAACCCACCTCATCGTCTTATAGGCTGCAACATGGTGATCTTTGTTATCCAGGACATTCCGATCCATAGAGATCAGAATGTTGCGGGCTTGGGCTAATTCCTGGACAGTGCCTCTCTGTCCGTAATCAGAATCAGGTTTATTGCCAGGTACATGTCAAAAAAAACATAGTTCAATAGAAAATGTTGATTGTGATGATGCTTTGCAAACAGGAGTGGGATGTGCTGAATGTCTGGATGAGACAGAAATGTTAATAAAGTATTTTTGAAATACTACATAATACTTGCTTACTGGTTTTGCTTGCATTTTCTTTCCAAACTTTTTTTTTGAAAACTAAGTGTTGCAAGTGGCTTTAAAATATATTTTTCAAAAGGACAACTTAATTATTACATGTGATTACTGCCATTTTACCAGGGTGTCTGGACTTTTCACCTTATGTTTCAGGCTTTAGATTACATTGATATCCATATGGTGTTAAAAACTTGAGTATTTTTGCCAGCAAAACCAATGATCCAAACTATTTCCAGCTCTGGTATGGATGACAGGATAGAGGTTTGGACATTTGCTGGACTTAGTTTCACATTTAAAAATAACTTACGTTTTGCTGTATTCAGAAAATACCAAACAGTTCAAAATAGACCATACAAATCTTTAATTTGGTTCATATCAATAAAGTGTAATGTATAAATGTGATTTAAAAATTGATTGGACATTTCACACATGGACAGATCCTGCAGTTGGTTCAATGAATCAACAAATCATAAAACAAAGCCATTTTAAAAGAGCAGTGATGATTGAGCAAAGTCGAACTGACAGTAACATAACTGACAGTTAAATAACAAACCTGGGACTCACATTTTTGGTTTGTAAAACTCACTACAATATAAATACATTTTAAGTAATCTAAGTCATTTTAGATGGGTAAAATGAGCATTTGCAGCAGATTCAAGTGAAACTGAAAGCAGTGTCAGCGCAGTCCACTGAGGTAGCTGAAGACAATCTTCTCAACATGAATCAGCCCCATGTCCTCTGTGCTCTTTGGTTAAGTTCATTTAGCTCACATTGAGGACATTACAGAGATATTTTGGAATGTTGTTTTTGTCTTGTGAATAGGTGTCGTTCACATATGATGTGAAAAGGTGCTATTAAGGCCACATCGGAGAATTTGAGTACAAATGCAGAAACCTTTCTATAAATCTGTTAAAGAAATATAACAAACTATGAAATGAATTTAATGAACCGCTACAAGTGCTCAGGTTGGATGTCTGGGCTGTCCTTCTCCCTCACAAGTCGTTCCTCCACTCGGGGTCCAGGTGCTGTTGAACGACACTCTCTGCGGTTTCAACTGGCAAGAAAAGATTCGCATGAAGAACAAAAAGTGGACAATTTTAACATCAATTCAAAATGTTCGTTTTGTGTCAGGGGTGTACAAATGAAAATAAAGATTTGTCACCTTGAGCCTCAATGTCGATGTAGAGGGCAGCGAGTCTCATCACCACGTCCTCGTCTTCTTCTGCTTGGACAAAACCAGTGTAGCCTCCTTCATCTTGACAGTACTGGATGAACCTGCAGACGAGTAGGGAGGGAGAGAATAACAACAACGTTAGCAGGGACTGATCGCTGAAATTTTAAATGAAATTTAAATGTTTATGTACGCTGACCAGGAGTAGCCAGTAGGGATAGGCAGATCAATACTTATTCACAAGCTACTCATTTGGAATAGATTATATGTTTGTGCCAAAAAAAGCCCTTACATATTTAGATGGCCTGTGTCACACGACGGTGGAAACCTATGTGACATGTAAGTTCTGAAAAAATATCTATGGTCTGTTTAAAGAAGATGAAGAAAAAGAAAATGCAAATGTGTAGATGTTTTATGTAGTTTGTATTTTAATTTATTTTATTTAATAGTTATTTTATAATTATTGATTTATTTCATTATTATCTAATCATAGTGTTTTGGTAAATAGTGGACTATTTTTTTACACTTATCACAAGCACTTCTATTTAATTGTATCATATTTAGTTAAGTAATACATTTACAAATATGTGTCATGTGATTTGCCTTTAAGTGATCTGTAAAAAATAAAAATCATACACCAATTTAACAAATGATCAGTATCTGTTATCAGTATCATTAATATTGTGACAAAAAGTTCAGGTATCATATCGAATTAAAAAAGTTTGGTATCGCTCATCCCCAGCAGCCATGTTGACATGTACCGAGCCCAGGTAGGATCTTTGTTCAGCACTCTGGGGTTTCCCACCACAATCAGCAGGGCTTGTGCTCGAGTCACAGCCACGTTGAACCTCTGGACAAGAAAGGAGAGTGTCAGGATTATGTTTTGTGCGTGCATACACAGTGTACATGCATGTGTTTGTGATGTGTACCTTCTCATTCTTGACAAAGCCGAGATTGAACTGTTTGTCCACCTCTGCGTAGTTGGGGCTGCTTCGAACTGTAGACACCATGATCACTCTTCTCTCCTGACCTTGGAACTCCTCCACTGAACCGACCTGACACACACACACACACACACACATATGTATATGCTTAAGAAACTGCCTCTGCTGTGTTTCACATCACTTCAGTGTGAAACATTTAGTTACCTTGAGGGCGTTCATGTCCTTAAATTTGAAGTCTTTCCCAACCTTTTCCAGGGCCTTACGGATTTTCTGCACCTGTGTGACACCCAGAACAACAAACAGCATAAATTATAATGAATTACTTGGACCAAAGTAATCTGCAACAGCAATAAACTATGTTGTATTCTGTGTTGAATCAGATTTAATTCAGACCTGTTTCCTGTAGGGGGCGATAATGCCTATGTCTCTGGGTGAGATGGTGGCCAGGCCCTTCTTGCCATGTGTCTGCAGCAGTTTCTTCACATACTCCATCAGCACCTCCACCTCTGCTACGTTGAAGAACGAAGGACTGCTGGCCTCGCGTTCGTCAACACCAGTCACGCCATGGAAGATTAACGGGAAGTCCTGAGAGATATGTGACATATATTGTATAATATAAATATACAGATGCACTAAGTCAGGTATAGCGCTGTTCTTCTTCTTTGATAATCTGAGGTTTGTGTGATGAAGCGTGATGTGATTATTTCCTGTGTTTTGTAGAACAGACTTTCCATTCACAATGATAAATGGAAATCAATCAGAATTTCCTGTATTTAAGTATTTCATAGTCGGAAAATGCTAATTTGGTTTTTTTTTAAATATTTATCTTAAATTTATCAGTGTTTTAAATATATTATCCTTCAATGAGAATCCTGTTTTAAAAAGGAAAGACTGCACCTGAAAGTGAGTTTCATCAGTATTAGTTCGAACAGTTTTGATTTTTGATTAGTCTGTCAATTGTTTTGTCTATGTCAAAAAAATAAAATATAAAATAAAATATAATAATTAAACAGTAATATGGCATCGAAGTTTAAAAATATGTTTTCATAGTTTATTTTGCTTTAAAAAGGACATTTCATGAGAAAGCTAGCGCAGTGAAAATCATCCAAGATCAAATGTGGACACTTATGTGCATCAGTCTCCACAATGGACTGTGAAGGGGCTTTAAAGTCAAGATGCTTTGCTCCAAATAGCCAAAAAGACATCGGTGCATGACAATGTTGGTTGGCATTAGCAACTTTCTGGTGACTAGTTATTTATTATACTAACGCTTATGATATCCTATTAAAATGATCACCTGTTTGAATGTAAAAAGGGATATGACTTCATATACAGTCCAGTGTTACCCATTTTCCCAGTCCAGTCCGGCCTGCCAGAGTCTAATCTTTTCCGCCACAGTTTCCTAATGAAGCGAAAACATTCTCAAACTTCTCATCATAACATAAACTGTCTCTAACGTTTTTTGCATGATTGATTTGGCAAAGTATCTGTCAAACAAACTTAAATTGAAAGTGCCATATAGCTTTGTTCCCTTATCAAATCGCAAATTAAGTAGTATATGTATAAATAAGATATTAAATCAGTATAAATAAGTTATTTTAGGAGGTTAAAAAGTAACTAAGTAACTAAGTGAGTAAATTTTAAATGAGATAATTTTTACTTTTACTTGACTAGATTTTTAGTAACTTTACTTGTACTTAAGTAAGAGTTCATCAAATTAATCTTACTTTTACTTAAGTAGAATATTTTTATCTCTGATTTAGTGTCACCAATGATGGACAGAGCTGTACTGTAAATAACTTCTCAGAACCCAGGTTGTCATCTCCAAAATCCTTTTTAGTTCCAACAGTCAGAAACCCAAAGATATTCAATTTACAATGACATAAAACTCTCTTTGGAGATGCTGGAACCAGCAATTGTTTGGCAATTTTGCTTTAAAAATTACTGAAATCTATTAGATCAACTAATAGATTAATTAACTTTAACAGTTTCAGCTCTAGAATGAGAATAAAATGGCTACATTATATATTATTGAATAAGGAAGATCTTGTTCTTGAGTCCTAAGGCGTATTGGGTCACTTTTCATGCTTTCAATTTCTACATGATGTGTTTTTAACATGCACTGTAGTGGAGAGCAGGGGCAAAAGTACCATTTTTTAGAAAAACCTGATTTTAAAAGATAATGTTTCAGACAGAGATATATTTTTGCTGTGGTCACAGGTACAAACACAGTTGTGGTCTATCAATATCATGTGGTATTTTGTACAAATACGACTTCCGTATTATTTCACTTTAAACATAAGTGGCACATTGTTACTTTTGACCCCGTCAGCTGGGACAAAAGTAACACAACAATACAAGGTAGATTTTTTGTGTTACCATTGTATTTAGTAAATAAACATGACTGTGACCTTGTTAATGTGTAACTGCAAACATCTTTTGTCCTTTATCTTTAAAAAAAAAATTTAATTACATTTTCATTTTAAATATTCAGTTTCAAAAGTAACCTGACAGCCCAAACTTGAATTGTTTAGAATATTTCATATTATATTACGGATTTATTATAAATATATAATAACAGACCTAAAACAGGGGGGAATGGTAAGATGGACATTGTTTATGAACCTGACATGATTAAAATAATTAAAATAAAATAAGACTTTACTGATCCTGCACTGGGAATATTTGAATGTTGCAGCACTTTCAGAAACAGTGAAAAAATTAAACATAATTTAGAAAGATAGGAAAAAAATGAAAATAAACATTAAAATTAAGATAAAAATTAAAAAGCTACAGAATAGGCCTATACAAATTTCACATTTTGAAATGTATTTAAAATTGTTTTAGTAAGAACAGTACAAGTGATCTGCACCTACTACACTGACCTCCTTAGGAGACAGGCCAAAAATAAATATCAGCCGCTCTCTTAATATAAGCATGCAGCTTCCTTTCCTAGTCCAAGGAGAAGACTTAATAATGTGATCTGTGGTCTAGTCTTCTCCCCAATTATCTCTGCCCTCTGCATTATCTGAACAAAGCGCAGGGCATATGGCATGAGATTATCAGCTGACCTGAGACTAATGTTTCTAATAGAGATGTCCAGAAACGCCTTCTCATAAAGATCTGGCTGAATCAGACCTCTGTCTTTCTGACCCACGCTATTGGCATATTCTGTTGGTATAATATGACATAAACATGTTTTAATAAATGCTGCAACATACACACACGTCCCGACAGGAACTCCTGACTCCTGACACAATTTATTTTTATACTGAAAAACTCTGACAGGCCAAATTTCAGGGTGTGTTAAAGCACTAAATAACCTGCAGATTAATCCTTACTGTGACACATGAAATGAGAGACACAACTTGTAATTCGAAAAACAGTCCCGCTTCAGAAATTTACCTGCCTTGCTCAAAAACAGTTTTCTGAAGACAGCCGCGGGATACGATGACAAAATCATGCGATATTTGGCAGCTCCATCAAGGGTTGCATGCTGAAGGTGCTGTCAGCTTGGACTGCAAATGCAGTCAGGGCTCTGAGAAAATCGCCGTGTTACTTTCGCCCCGGTTTACCCCTACAGTATGCGTGTGCTAAAAGAAGAATCATTACCTTCTTTGGGAGGTGTTCCCATCTACAGTAGGAGTTGCGTAAAATTTCATCCGCGCTAACCAACAGCTCTTCGTCATAGAAGAGCTCGTTGGGAATCTTCAGAATGGCAGGATGGGACCTGAGAAGGGACGAACAGAAATGAAAATAGATGTAAATATGAATGAAATGAATAAAATATATGGAATCAGACATATTTTTTTATCAAGGAGTGACCTATAACCATCTCTACTACCACACCTGTAGTTGTGCAGCAGTTTGGTGACATAGTGATTGTTGAACACGCCCTCGTGTTTCTGGTACAGAGAGAAATCTTTCATCATGCGCTCCAAGAGGGACACTCCTGCAGACAGCAGAGCCTTTTCACTCAAGACACTCATGAAACACACACGCACGAGTAGAGCAAGACTATGTTTTCAAGTTAAAGTCTGTGTGTGTTGCAGAACTACATATCCTTGTGCCTTATCCTTATCCATGTGCGAGTGTGTCTTTACTTACCCATGCCGTAATTCAGCGCAAAAGGGGATCTGAGAATAGGTCCGAGCTGCTTGGGGTCTCCAGCCAGAACAACCTGACCAGACTCTGCCTGGAGCAGCCCTTTGTTCAGCAGATAACAAAAGTCAGCCAACACATACAACAAATCCAATACAATTACAGAAAACACACAGCTGTTTGCTTTCTTTTACCTGCCAACGGGACTAAACATTCTGTCTCCACCGCGTGTCCTGCCTCGTCCACAAACACGTGCGTGAAATGACCCGCAGGGATGTTTCCTGTGACGAGCCTGCAGAGATCAGAGAGAAAATACATGGTAGCAATGAAGATGTCCACTGTAGAGTTGACTGTTGGTATTTTGGATGGCAGAGAATATAAACAGGATGTGAATGATGTGTTAAGTGACAATGAAATGCAACTTTTTTTAATGGTGTCATGCTGGTGACAAACTGAACTACCTTCCCGCGGTTAAAAGGGTGGTGACAATGATCGTATACTCCATCAGCTTCTCTTTAGCGGGAAAAACGTAACACTCGCCTACCAGGTTGGAGCATGCCTGTGAATGTACCAAAGAGTCCGTGTACACAAACCTCAGTTAAGAGGCTAGAAAAACACAACAGTATCAAACACACAACTCAAGGAAGTGCAGCAGTGCAGCAGCAAGTAAGCAAGTGAATGGTCCTGATTTACTGTCATCTACAAACATTGCCATGCATCATAAAGTCCACTAGGGGGTAGATAATCTAACTGTGACCGACTGAAAGAGTGTGTGAATGAATGCCAGTTACTAAAGCTTCACATTTAAAACAAACACCATGCATCAAAAGCACCGGCGCTGACCTTTAGTCGTTCGGGGACACAATTTGGGTCCCGGCTGCTGGCGTACATGCGGAACACTTTATGCTCATCCACGTGGTCCAGAATCTTCCTGCAGAGCAGATCAGCAGCGCTGTTGGATGGAGCGCAGGCCAGGATGTGGCAGGAGGCCTGGGTCTTTTCGATCTGTTTGATGGCCTCCACCAGAGTCACAGTTTTGCCTGAAAAGACAAAAGAACCATCAGAATAATGTCAAGTGCGTTGAATTTCCGGCTTTGTGAGCAAAGACGAAGTAATATGATGGTACGTGCTGTACCTGTTCCAGGTGGGCCAAACACCAGGTATGGGGCCGGTTTGGATGAGCCAGCCACAATGTGTTGAACAGCCCGATACTGCTCTGGGTTTTTCTCCAGCTTATAGTCAAACAGCCTATCAGCAGGAAGATAAAGGAACAAAGGTATGACATCAGAGCTGAGTAACAGGTAGAGAGCGTCACAAGTTAAAGTTGATTAGTGTGATCATAATTGTATACCTTATATACACATTATACAAAGACATGCGAATAGAGTCTGTATACTAGCGTGCCTAACCTGAGGTTGGGGAGCTCAGTTTGCTGAGAGGGGAAGGCAGGTGCTGCAGGGAACAACACCTCTCCGAGTCTGTAGGTAGCTGCCAGCTCTGCTGCTCTGTGCTGAACACGCAGAGTCAGGCGGTTGACAGTGAACTCAACATTAAACTTCATGCCATCTACAAAGCGATCCAGCAATCTGCAAACAAATCCACAGACTGTGTCAATCTCGGATACGAGCAAACGTCTTAAATATGAGTCTAAGAAATCAATATCCATATTTCTTAACTGTTGCATGAATGTAATGTCTTAATCTTACGCTGAACCAAAGCCGAGTTTGACGCTGTCCATCTGCACACTGTGGACATAGCCGCGGTACTTCACCCCTGTTTCTCCTGCAGGATAGGCCAGCAGCACATCCCCTCGTAGCACAGACGGGCGGTTCTCAGACACACCGGGTACCTGGCAGGTGAGTATGTTGCAGTGTTTGTCTTTTTGTTTTCCTACAAACTATTGTGTTTATGCAGAGACCTGAGTCAGTAACACATATCAGGATGTCTTTTTGAGGCTCCGTTGTGCATTCGCTTATTTTCCAAATACATGCTCCTCTTGATAGGTTGTTGGGATATTCTTATTGATCCATAATCAAAACACAGAAGTCACAGAGAGTCTCTGATTGGTTATGAATTAAAAACAGGATTGTGTGCCATCACGCTTTTACCCGCATGATGGCACACAGAGACTCCGGCCAACCTCTACCTCACTCTTTCATTAACAAGCCCAGTTACACACACAGATATTCTTCCTATGATGAAAATGAATGCAGGTCAGAAAGAAAATGTTTCAGATCACATGCTCTTTGGTGCGGTTGTCACTGTACACAACACACCTGTCTCCATCTCTCCCCTGTGATTAGAAGCCCTCAACAGCAACTTCCCAGATTTCTTACCAACGTTCGCCGTTCTCCCACAGTGTGACTAATCAACACTTATGCTTGCTTTATATGTCTAATACAACTGCTCTTTGCACTGTGGTGTATTGTGGTACATGTAGTTATGATATGAGCATGTCTATTTTCTTTTCCTACTGTCTAGGATCTGCAGATGCTATTTGGGTATGTAGCTCGTGAAAAGTGAGAAAGGGAATGAATGAACATATGAACCTCCAGAATGAGAAGTTTCTTGTTGACCGTGTCTCTTTTCATGACGGCCTCTTTTCTTTCACTGTTGGGGATGTTGTATCTCTTGATGTCCACCTCCATCTGTTGCTCCTCCAGATACAGCAGCAGCTGAAACTTCTCGGTGTAGTTCTCCCAGCTCAGGGGACTTTCCAGCAAGGCCGTTCTAAAGAGACCAAAGGAAAAGAAACACATTGTATTACAGTGTATATATATTGGCGTCACATGGAACAGAAGCTGGGATGTTTAATATTTTTAATCGCTGCCTGCATTATGTTCAGAGGCAACTTCTTTTTTTTTGTGAGTTATGTGCTACATTTCTCTACCACTCCAAGGCTGCAGGTAGGTGGTTGGGGTGGATATAGTGTAAAAAGCGCAGGACACCAGAGGCCAGGTTTTGCATCCTGAGTCTTGTCTATTGTTGAGTTTAAGCAACAAAAGCACTTTGATTAAAGTTAGGGAAAAGATCTTGTTTTTGGTAAAATGTTAAAAATCTAGTTGAGTCTGGTCATTCTAGTCACTGCTGACTTTTTCTGTATTAAACCAAGACCACGATCTTTGCCTAACCTTAACCAAGTGCTGCCAGTGTCTAAACAGAAGCAGTAGTCACAACGAGTGGATACTAGTTTCGCAAGATCAGATACTTTGGTAGAAAGCAAATTATATACGCTGATTGAACAACAGTATCAACATTACCATTTCCCTCAAAATGTATTTGCTGCTGCAGTTTAGTTGTATATAAATTATTTTTTTACTGGCTACACTGTGACATATAAAACAAACATCACATGGAAAACCCATCAGTGAGGTTAGGCTGACTTTACCTTGTATCACAGAAGAAAGTTAACTGCTTCAGTGACTTGATGAGCTGGTTCATATATGCTGGTATTCGATACGTTTTTAGCTCGACCACGTTTTTTAGCTGCAGCACTGACAGGCTGGAAAGAGGAGATGAAAAGGAAAAGATTGGATACATCACTAGGAGACACAAAGCATTTACATTTGCTGTATATTTAACAGTGTGTTGAGTGAATGTTGATACCCTTCAGGCGGCTGTCCATCCACAATCTTGTAATCAACTTCAGGGGTCCAGGCAGGGAGGGAACGAGGTTTGTATGGGGCTATAGGTGCCAGCTCCAGTCCTAAGGCAGTTATACACTGAGCCTCAATGAAGCGTACAATGTGGAACGCAGCTGAGGAGGGCTGCAGGTCTGGTTTGAATTCAAAGGCCAGTGTAGCTGGATAGAAACCAACCAGACTGCAGCAGAAGTGAACCTGGATGTTATAGCTGTCACCTGAGAATAAATAAGAGGTAATCATGCTTTATTGTATAGTGGTATATTAGGCCCATAAATTTTCTGCCAGGTAAGCAAACTATGAAAATATGATGATGATATTTGCATTACCTGGTTGTAGACACATAGGGCTTGTCTTGGTCACTTTGCGCTCATCCCTCAGAGTGAAGTACCTGAGCCAGTGCAGTGGGGTGTAGTGGGTAAAATACACAGGCTTTGCTCCAGTGTTTTCTACTTTCAGATTCACCACGCACTGTTTCACAAAGAAAAACATAGCTTCACATTTGTACCACAACCAGCAAATGTGTTTATGTGACTCAGCAGATGGTCGTCAGAGAACACTGCAGTTTCTAAACATTAATACCTCACACTCATCCACACGTAAGCAAAGTTTCCCGTTCTCAAACTGATGGTCGGAGTTGATGCAGACACCATGTTTGTCAGAGATGAAATGAGCCCTGTGGGTGCACAAAAAGCTTATCACTCCATCTCAGAGCCAAATTAAAATGTACAAGCATGTATATTGTTTTGTAGCTGCATGGAGAAATAATACGGGCTGAAGAGAAGGAGGGCTGCAGTAAATGCAAGGCCAGTGACAGAAGATTAAGCGTCTGATGCGAAGCTGTATAATTCACTACTTTGTGGACTGCTGTCAGTGCGCTAGACATCCTGGCTTCTGCAGTTTATGCTTACAACCCTACCCACGCTACTTCCTGTCCCGTCTGTTTTTGCCACACCATATGAGTAAATCAAGCCAGTTGTGTGCCAGGACTCCAAAGAGGATCCTTTTGTTGATTGTGACTTTTTAAATCACTTTTGTTTAGTGTTTATTAAGCAAAAAGCACTCCAGTTTTCTCAGTTGCCTACAAAAGTGATTAAACCTTGAGAGGACTGCATTTTTGAAAGAAATAGTTGAAAAACCTTGTATGTGTACAAAATAAATAAAACAACGTACAGACAAATTGCTCTCTTGCAGTGACAAGCAGAAGAAAAACAAACACAATCACAGAAACGGCTTTTGGGAGGATGATATGAAAAGAGGACTATGTTACCTGTCTGTCTTCAGTTTGTTCATCAGAAGACTGGCCAGTTTTCTCCGGGCTCGAACTCCCGTCTCTGCTTCATCTCCAGAGGTGAAGGTCTGTACTGTCCCGGGACTGGCCGCTCCATTCTGGACAGGCTCGCGCTGATGGTGTCTGGGTGAATGCCACTGGTCCAGAAAAAGAGCGGTGACCTGTGCAGAGGGTCGCTTCATGTCAACTTTGTCTCGAGATTGAAAATTCCACTATCAAGTAGCTGAGTGTCCTCTATGTTGATCATGTAATTGGCAGTAGCGGATATAATGGTAACCTCAACTGTTTTACAGGTACCTAATCCGCATATAAATATAATATATAAATGCATATAGATATAAATGCAAGCAGGGATGGGCATTACTTGTGATATATGTATTTAAATACGTATTTAAAACACAAAATAGGATTTTGTAGGGTTGATTAAAATTGCTTCATATTTTGTATCAAAATACTCCCATGTTTTGTATTTTGTAGTTTAAAAACACCGTAAAATACTTTGTGAGCAGTCTACGTGATGACAAATTAAAAACACTGCCTCTGATTGGTGCCTATCAGACTTGTTGAGATCAGAACAGAAAATTAATCCAGGCCCTAAGAAGAAAGTCATGGAGAGAAACCATTGTAAAAATAATTTTCCCACTTAACGTAATGTTCTAGCTAACTATTTCAGTTGCAGCCCTCACAGTTAACATTAGTTTGCTACTTTCAGCCTATTTTACGTTTTCGTTGGTTGTGCACTTAAAAAATAATGTAGTAAGCATTTCAGAGTTGTTGTACATTACTTTATAATGCCACAACATGGTATGTAACTTGCTGAATGCACATTACTGTGCCTTATTCGGCAAGAATCCGGCAAGATGAGACAAAGTGGACTCTGTGTTTTACATCGATGATGCTCAAACAGTCAAGATGGACTCTCAAGTGTTTCCCAAGTGTAAGACTGTTTATTGTGAATATGAAACTTTCATATTATCATCTAGTTGCTGCTGTTTACGTTCACCCCAGATGCAAATTCAAAAAATGCCCTGTGGAATGTTTGGGGTGTATACGTGTTTTAATATAGGCCTACACTTAATTACATGTTATGTGCGTAGCATGAAGGAACTACAAATTTTGTTTCGTTATGAAGCCTTGTGCTGTATAATGACTAATAAACAACCTTGTACCAGGTATTGTCATTAACAACAATCTGCTGCAGCGCCATTAAACAGCTTGTTGTCAACCCATCTACCACTCGAGTTTGCTGTAGCTCACATGATGCAAAGTATCGCTTCATTACCAAACACCAAGCAACTAAAATAGGATACAATTATGAGTCATTAGCCAACTGTTAGCAAAACATTAAACTCTTGGTTACTTTAAAACTAACCTTCATCTGGGTGATCACAGGGATAATGTTTGATCTGTTAACTGGTTCCCTGTCAGATTTATTGCATGACTCATTAGGTAGAAAAAAGCTGTTGCTCTCAAACACTGTTCACTTAATCAGCTGAGTCAGTGTGCTGATGACTGGATAGATTAAACAGACTGATAGTTAGAAGTTTTGCTAAGTGATTTCATGGTACCTTGGAAAAGTATTTTCTGTATTTTGAAATACCAAAAACACAGTAGTTTATTTTGATGCATGATTTGATAAACTTAAAATTTGGGTATTTGGTTTATTATTTTAAAATATATTTAGATTTATCTTTGCCCCTCCCTGACCGCAAGCTTTGTCTTACTACATTAAAGTTTTGTTTCTGAGGAAGTAACACCACCCTGTCTTACACACACAGTGATTTTGCAAGTCAAAACCATTGCTTGTGAATTCACACATTGCTGTACTGGGTTTAAAACATTAAAGCCAGGGTAGGCAAAGCTGGAGACAGCTAGATTTTAAAGGTATCCAACCAAAATAAAATCCCACTCCCTCCCCTCCAATACCACTTCCCCAAAACCCCAATTTTCTTGCACAGTGAAGGTGGGTAGGCCAACTAATCCAATGAAACTATTGGACTTGCTTATTACAGTCCTGCAACAGACACAGAGTGTGTGATTTATTGATCGCTGTTGGGATGGAGAGATAATTTCTTCAAATATGACAAAATATGCTTTAATTTTTCTCCATAACAATAAATAATTATTAAATAAATAACGGATCCACCATGTTTAGAACCAAGATTTTTTATAAAGATCATTTTTGTAGCAGTGACCTGGGTTGTAAGGTCATATGCACTGTTGCACATTACCACCAGTCAAGCAGGCTCCTTTTTTTATAATATTCAGATATTTATTATAAGACTTTAACCCATAATTTAGAGCAAATAAACTCCAAGATTAAATTTGTAAATGGCAGTTCTAAATAAAGAGACAGGCAGGCTATTTCCAGCCTAGAGTAGCTTAATTATTTATGTCATCTGATTCACAACAAATAATTTTACATATAGTGAAGTGAAGTCCATTGAAATATTATACTGTATTTGACAAAGTTATGTCAAAACCAGAGCCAGAAAAGACAAAGATGAGTTTTGTATTGCCACCCAATTACTTCACAGCTAGAAAAATGCTACTGCTGGAGTAAAGTGACTTTAAAAGGAGAAAACACATAATTATTATAATTTTAAAAGAAATTGTGAATCAATAGCATGTACCATAACACTGATTTCGATAAAACAGATGATGAAAGCCAAAGATTGCACATATAATTTAAGATTTCAAAAGCTAGCCGATAATCTATCATCATCATTTAATAATGAAGGCTTAGCTGACTAAAATATAATGTGGAAGTGTATACCGTGGAGTTGAAGCGTATATTGTCTCTTCGTCTTGTTATTTTGTTGCACACTTTAAGGGCATAGAGGACTGAACCGAAGTTTGGATCTTTGGTAACTGCATTCCTAAAATAAACACAAAAACATCGGAAACATAACTTGTCACACGCACACACACACAGATCTCATATCTCCATAACCATAACAGTCATGGCCTACCTGCTCCTGAACTCAGCATTGTAAATGTCCCTAAGTTCAATTCTGTCTGTGATGGATGCTCGATCAGTCTCCTTCAAGAACTCAAAGAAGTCCAGTCCAATCTGGCAGCGTAGAGATAATTTCATATTAACCATGATCAAAGATTGGCGTAATCGAAGTTCTCCAAACAAGAAAACGTCCGGGCTGCTCGCTTGAATACGGGATATTTCAACAACAGGCAACCGAATATTTGCATCTCAGAGGATCCCGAGGACTGCTGTTTAATTTTTATGCCCGGAGAGTCCACATGGGCGGCGTCACTGTATCTCGTGATACGGAACTGCAATAGGAGCTCGGGCATTTAAAGCAGGTACACCCCACACAGCCTGCCTGTTAGCAGAAACGAAACTTAACGATTTGGAACCGTGGAGCCCGTAGAAGCAAAACGAAAGTGTAAACAAACGAGATAAAAATCGAGCTATTAATAGCGATAGGCCTAATTCATTTAGATGAGTCAGTCAGCGAACAGATCGGCAACAACAACTTCAATATATTAGCCTGTAGGCCAACAGGGTTGCCCCAGTAAAGCTGTTTGACCCGCTGACTATTATCTTTTGATAATTATTATATAATAATACAAATATTCTGGGCTTAGTAGTTGAACCAAGATGTGTTGTTTAGGCTATATTTTATCCCAAGTAAGGTTTGCATATTAGCCTCCAGCTAATTAAGGGGGGTTTGAAGACTCTACTGTTGTTTCAGAAAGACACAGCCTACTAACAGACCGAAGCAAAAAAACAAATACAGCAATAAATAACTGGCATTACATCACACGCTTGAGTTTGCGGCAACGCCGCTCTACGCACGAACAATGACCTCAGATCAGACCGAAAGCATTGTGCAGGTTCGAAAACGCGAGGCGCACAGCAGTGCCTTTTTTGGTTGAATTGGGAAAAGAGCAGTGCGGGTTTGTTATGTTGGTCGGCCGATCGCCTCAGACTTGAATTTTTTTCAACTTTGTGCGCTAAGAGCGCTCCTTCGAAAACGCGAGGCAGCCAGGGCGCTTAAACAGCGCGTTCTTTCTGATCGCATTCCGTTCGCGTTTTAACCAACAGATGTGTACAGATTACAGCTGTAAATTCATAGCTTTTTAAAAAATTTTCTGTTGTCTGTTCGTACATTTCTACAGCACTTCTCTTTCCGCACGGTCCCATACTGATCACCCAGGGAGGGTTAAATGAATATGAAGAATTTTAAATGAGAGTAACATCCCTGGAACCTCATTCCTGGAGTTAAAATGTGAAAATGTGAAGCTGAACACAAACAGCACAGGATATTCCTATTATGAAAATGTAGTCTATATAAGGGAATTCATCACCACTGTTTAACTTTGGTTATGATTCAACCTTTCAAATTTAAATAAGCCTAGTTTAGTATGCATAGAAACAGCACCTTTTTAACATATTTTTTTACTCATTCAAAACATGTGCATAAGATTGCATGCACGTTAAATAAGCTATATGTTAACTAAACATTTTGTCAAAAGTAAATTCACTGGCTAGTAAAGAATGAGTGTGGCCTATCAAAAGAGCAAGTCGTTTGGAAATGTTCCCAGTGCTTTCACAATAATGTAAGCAGTAATGGGACCTTGTCTAAAATCATATAGCTTCAATTTCTGAATGCTAACAGACTCTGTAATAACTTGGGGCAGATTGTGTGAGAAGTGACACAAGTTCAGAAGAGTTTGGTATCAGTGCTACCTCTGGGGAGGTAAAAGCTCCACCCAGATGAAAGCATCTTGAAGTCATTCCTTAAAGAGTGCATTCACTTAGGAGTGTCTTACTGGACTTCACCCTTTACACAGGGTTCAGGAAGTCAAGATATTATCTGGTGCTGACGAGATAGTATCTGGTGTGCACCGGACTAACATCAATGACTTTGTGTGAGTTTGAGTTTCACACTTTTCCCCAAGTTGTTTTTTGTTATTTAGTCTGAGATTGTCAAGCCAACAGATCATAAAGGATGTTAGAAACAACTTTTAAAGTGTAAAACTCTTTAAATAAATACTTGCTGACATCTATCCCTAGCTAGAAAATAAAAATCAGCTAGAACAGGAGAATAAAAATGACTGTGTAATTACAGTGCAGTGAATATATCAAGATATGAATACATAATCTTAAACATAATTTAATAAAAAGGCAGTGGCATACAGAAACATCTTAAGTTTGTTCTTATACTGTATGTGGTGGATAAAAACTGAATGCTGCTTCTCCCTGTTTAGTTTTGACTCTGGGGACAAAAAGATCTTTCCCAGACAATCTCAGAGGTCTGCACTCTTGATATATTCTTAAGGTGATGGTCAGCTGATTTTTCAAGATTTCTGGCGTGTTGTGTTATGTCTTGTGGTTGTTTTGATTCGTCTTGTCTCTTGACCTTAGCAGGAGGCAACAGGTGGGTGATGCAGGAAGCAAAGTAGATTGTAGCCAGAATATGTGTGATTAGTTCACAGACGATATCCTTGGGAAAGCTGTATTTTTGGTGTCCTAATTGCTCATGTTATGTATTTAAAAGCAAAATCCCCCACAATCAGAGGCCCTGTCATTAGCTTTCCCTGTAGCCTTTTGCTTTCAGAATTGCTCTCAGTCCTTACCCTGCTGTGTGAGGATGAGAGGTTATCCAGGTCATCTGACAGACAATCAGGGTCCAGCAGCAGTGGTGTAAATCTTTTTTCAAATTGTACACATGGTTTTCGGGGGCGGGTTCTAGTTTCCCCTTGCACAGCCCTCAGGGGCTGATGCAGCGCTCTACCTGGATGGTGGTGCAGGCCAGCCAGTAATGTTGCAAATCTCAGGGCAATGGGCTCTGGCTATCACTCGCCCTCACATTTCCCAGGGAAATTATTTATTAATAGGCTTTGTACCAAGACAGTTCTAATACTTGCAGATTTATTGTCTGACAGGCAGCCCCCATTTCTTAGTAGGCTCATGCTCATACCTCTCATTGCAACAATTATTTGGGTAGATAAAAAGATGAGTTTGTTAACCAAATAGTTAGTCACTCAACTACAGTTTGATGAGTCATCTCATTGTTCCAGGAAGTGG